TGGTAAGAATGGTAAATAGACATAATCTCTGAAGTACAAGACTAGACAGTTCTTGAAGTAATCCTTCTGCTAGTTGTCAGCAATCATTTGCTAGTGAGTATGATTATCAACCTAGGAAGTTGGGTGTCACTGGCCATTGGTTCTGTAGTCCTTGGATGGCAGACAAGCCTGATAATAGAATCCCATGTCCACCTACAATTTGGCAGGTGTTTGTGGAAGTGGTCCAAGCCTTAAGATCATTGACATTTCTTTCTGTAATTTCTTTTCCGTACTTCCCTCTTACTGATGGGTGGTCTTGAAGAATTGTATCACTTTGTACGAGAGTTTCCTCCAAGTTGATTTCTTCTGAATATGTTGACATCTGTGTTGTATTTCTTGAAGAAAAGCTTCAGGGAGTCTTTGAAACACTTCCTATGTTGTCCTTTCGTTAAAGTACCTTCCTTGAGCTGGGCAAAGATTTGTTTTGGTAGTTGGAACTCCGGCTTCCTAAGCGCATGGCCAGCCCAGCAGCGTTGGCTTTGGATTATCTTGGCCTCGCTACTGATACTATTAGCTGCTTCAAATCACTGAATGTTAGTACACCTGTCCTCCCACCTGATGTGGAGAATCCATCTCAAACAGTGTTGACAGTGCTTCACGAGGGTTTTAAGGTAACATCTATACGTCGTCCAAGTTTTGGAATCATATAAAAGAGTCAGAAGGAAGACTGCATTATACACAAGGATCTTAGCATCAGTTCGCATATCACAGTCGTCAAAGACTGTCATCCTTAGGCGTACAAAGGCAGCACTTGCAGATTAATTGCAGTGTTGAACCTCTGCATCGATGTCAGCCTTAGCTGAGAGGTAGCTTCACAGGTCGGGGAAATGATCTGCATTTGGGAGGATTTCTCTATTTATCTGAACAGAGGGATGGACCAGAAGTTGACCTGGAACAGGTTGGTAAAAGATTGGAGTCTTCTTGCCTGAGATCAGCAAGGCTTTCTTCGTTAACCCAGATTGTCAGGATCAGTTGATTGAAGTGATGCATAGGCTCTGTTCTTCCAAGTTTGAAAATCTCTGCTAGAATCCTATCTACTCCTGTGGTTTTTTCCAGTTTCATCTGTCTAATGATGGTTTCAACATCTGCCTCACTAGGTGGGAGTCCACGATCACCTTTGGGGAATTGGGGGAGGTTTCCTCTCTCATATCCTTGTAAACAATTATTTGGCAGTTTAGGACTTTAAAGTGTTCTGTCCATTGGAGGCTGATATTTTTGCTGCCTGTCAAGGTTCCATCCTTACTCTGTACTGCTTTGAGGCTAAGGGTGTTGGATCCATATATTGCCTTAACGATATTGAAGAAACCCTGGGTGTTGTGCTCGTCAGTAAGGTGCTGTAACTCCTTAGCTTTCTCAGTCCATCATTTATTCTTGATTTCTCTTGTTGTTCTTTGTAACTCTGTCTCTTTGTCTTCCTGGTGATTTTGTTTTACCGGGCATGGAGAATTTTCTTTCTCTTGTTGACAAGGTCTTGGATGATGTGGCCATTCATGTTGAACCAGTCTTGGTGCTTCCTGGTCTTGTAGCCGATGGTTTCTTTGCAGCACGAGATATTGGCTGTCTTCAGTTCTTTCCAGATTTTCTCCATTTCATTGAAATGAACTCTTTACAGATTTTGGTGAAGGCATTGTTGGAAGTTCACTAGTCTGCTTGGCTGCTGAAATCACTCAACCTTGGAGCATTTTTCTGAACTACTTCATCTTCAGCTGCTTCTGGTGGCATTTGATGGACATTGAGGAGTGGATAAGCTGATTGACTGTCTGTTCAGGAGATGTCTACACTAATCATCACTTTGGTAATGAGGACATCCTTTTGGCTTCTGGATCAAACAATGATTTAGTAAATCATGTGCCAGTGCTTTGATCATGAATGCCTCCAAGAAGTCTTCAACTTGCCTGTTTGGTGGAACAGTGCATTGGTGATGACTAGCTAGTGTTTGCACATTCGGTGAGCAGGAGAATCCTGTTGGAGTTACAATTGCTGACTCCTTCCTTTCCAATGGCTCCTTTCCGGAATTGGATGTCCTTTCCAAACCTGATGTTGCAGAATGCCAAGCAAGCTTTAGAAAGCTGAAGGCACTCTTAATAAATGCATCAGTGTTGGCCCCCCCCTGATTTTCCAAGACCTTTCAAAGTGGCAATTGATACTGCTGATTTGGGGTGAGATGCTGCCTTGTTACAGGATCGTCTGTATTGAATAGAGGAGCAGTGGGGTACGTCTCTAAGAAACTTAAACCATTATCAGAAGTAGTACTAAAATAAATAAAACAAAACAGAGGATGCCGGAGATCTGAAACAAAAACCGAAATTGCAGACGAAACTCCGATCTGGCAGCATCTTTGGTGAGAAAGCAGAGTTAATGTTTCAAGTCTAGTGACTTATTATCAGAACTGCTGAGTTTCATCAGCAATTTTGGTGTTTATTTCAGAAGCAAGTCTCTGTAGAAAGAGACTTTGGTGGTGTTGTCAGCCCTTCAACAATTTGAAGTCTATGTCCAGCACAAAAGCAAGTAAACAGTAATTTATACTAATGCTAGCCTTCATTGAAAAGTTTGAAACTCTGAATGCATGAATATTCAGATGTTATCTTTTGTTGCAAGTATTTAATGTAAAGAGTATTCACATTACTTTGAAAAGAATATGTAATTGCACATGTATTGTCCTGAAGGCAAAATTATGGAATAGGTTGTAAATGGATGCAAGTCTTGTGTTTTGTTGTTTGTGTATTGCATGTTTGTGATGAAGCACAGTTTTGAAATTGTATTTAATCGTATTAAGGGTGGAGGTGAGTAGGTGGTCTCAATTTTTATAACTGGACTGAAATGAAATAGAACTGCTTTTAAATTAGTTTTCCAAAGGATTGCTGCATATTTTGAAAAGCAAATAACCTGACAGTCGTGGCAAGCATTGTTATGGACCAGACCAAAACTCCCCCTAAAAATATTCACAAGGCAGTTTAGACCCTAACTTTACAACAGCCATAGTTCCTCCAGATCCATTCATGTGATTTAAGTCACTTGTCCCTGGGACCATGCACACGAATGCTTTTAGCTTGTCCAGTGTCTTTGCATCCTTCCTAAAGTGCAGTGCCTACATTTGGACATGATTTTGTGTCAAGGTGGTGCCAATGTTTCCTAAAGATTGACAATAACATCCTTGCTTGTGAGCAGCACAGTGGCCCAGTGGTTAGCACTGCTGCCTTACAGCACCAGGGACCCGGGTTCGATTCTGTCCTTGGGCGACTATATGTGTGGAGTTTGTACGTTCTCCCAATGTCTGCGTGAGTTTCCTCCCACAGTCCAAAGATGTGCAGGTTACATAAATTGGCAGTGCTAAATTGCCTGTAGTGCCCAGGGAGTGCTCTTCAGAGGGTTGGTCAGGACTTGATGGGACGAATGGCCTGTTTCCACATTATAGGAATTCTGTGAACTGTATGCTTCTATTTTAGGAAGTCCAGCATCCTAAATATGCTCATAACTTCCTTTGCCCTGTTACCTTCAGCAATCTTTACACACAATCCCAGGTCTGCTTCTGCACCCTGTTTAGAATAGTGTCCTTTATTATCATTACCTATCCCTGTTTATCCTACCAAATGTGTCACTTTGACCTCTGCAGTAAATTTAATTTGCCACTTTTTCATCTATTCCATCCGGTCCTCTTGAAGTCTTATCGTAATCCTGTTTTCTTTGAAGTTTGCCGTTGCCTGTAAATTTTGAAATTGGTCCCTAATATGATTCTAAGTAATTAATAAAAGTGAAGTAAAATAGTTGTTCTAGTACTGACACCATGCAACCTGAATGTGTACCTTTCTCTAGTTAAGAAATAACCCTTCACCACTACAATTTCCCAACACAGAGGAGCTATGAATTCATGTAGCTCTTATCCCTCTTATACCACAGGCTTTAACTTTTCTGGCTATAGATAAGTGTGGAGCTGGAGGAGCACAGCAGGTCAGGCAGCATCAGAGAAGCAGGAAAGTTGATGTTTCGGTTCAGGACCCTTCTTTAGAAATGGGGGAGGGGAAGGGGGCTCTGAAATAAATAGAGAGAGGAGGGTTGGGGCTGGGGGTGGTTGGTGGGATGGTGATAAGTGAGTGCAAGTAGGCAGTGGTGGGGATTGGTCAGTGAGGTGGGAGGAGCAGATAGGTGGGAGAGAAGATGGACAGGTTGTGTCATGTCAAGGAGGCAGGGATGAGAGGGAGGGTTGGTCATGGGATGAGGCCAGAGGGTTGGGAGATTTTGAAACTGGTTAAGTCTGCATTGAGACCATTGGGTTGTAGGCTCCCAAGGCGGAATGTGAGGTGCTGCTTCTCCAGTTTCCGGGTGGTGTCATTGTGACACCGGAGGAGGCCCAGGATGGACATGTTGCCAGGGAGTGGGAGGGGTAGTTGAAATGGTTCACGACTAGGAGGTGTTGTCATTTGTCGTGAACAAAGCGCAGGTGCTCTACAAAGTGGTCTCCGAGCCTCTGCTAGGTCTCACCAATGTAGAGAAGGTCACCCTGGGAGTGGGAATAATTTTTCTGGCTTGCTTGTTATGTCACAGTTTATCAAATGTCTTTTGGAAGTCCATGTACACCCCATGAACCATCTCTGTTGCTTTATCATAAAAGGCAATCAGATTGTCTAAACATAATTTGCCTTTAACAAATCCATGCTAGCTTTTCTTAATTAATCTATATTTATCTAAGTGCTTTTCCACTACTGAGGCTAATCTGGTTAGCCAGTAGTTGGCTGAGCGTTTCCTTGATTTATATTATTCATCCATATTGATCCATCCCCACAATGATTGTCAGTTGACTAAATATATTGTACAAGGTGACTTATGTTAAGTATGAAAATCATCCACATATCGCTGTATAGAACCTGTACCTGTCTGAATAATTTTTTTTAATGACTAGGTGGCAAATATCAAAAGATTCACTGCTGCATCTTTTCAGTGATGGCTTTTTTTGTGTTTTTCAGAAAATCTGATGTGGCCTTGGATTATACTCTTCCTCGAAAGAGCAGCCTGTCCTCTGACAGTAACAAAACGTTTGCAATGATTGGCCACAGTATGCCCCATCAAGAAGATGCAACTAGGTTGACAGGAATTTGGAATGTTGGAAGCTTGCTTCTTTTTAATGGTAACAATTTAGTAACATTTTAACCTTTTCTGCACTTCCTTTTGATAAGTGTTTTTCACTTAGGTGTATCAGAGTAATTCTATGAAGCCATTCAGCCCATTTTGCCACTTGGCCTCTAGACCAGTTATATTCATTATTATATTTACTGCCTTATATCCAAGTCCATTAAACCCCTTTCATTTCAGTCATCTAGTTTTGAATGTTGACACAATTTCAGCCTTGTGCTAGAAGTACATTCATGATTCCACAATGTGTCTTCATTAAAACTTTTATTTATAGACATTCAGCTAGAGCTTAAGAGCAGGATCAGGCCATTTGCCCCTTTGACCCAATTTAACCAATTAATAAGATCATGAGTGAGCTGATTATGGTATGAACCCCACTTTCCTGTCTGTAGCTCATAGGCCTTGTCCATCAGATGTATATCTAATCCCATTTTAATAAATTTAAACATAAATAAATTTGACAGATTTACAATCTCAGAGAAGAAGCTCCTCACCTCTGTCTTAAATGGAGATTTCTTATTCTTGAACTGTCTCCTAGTTTTAGTCCATCAGAACATCCTCCCAATAGTATCTATCAAGTTCTCTCAGGATTTTGTATGGTTCAATAAGATCATATCTCAATCTTCTAAACTCCCTATGGGTGCAATCCAAGCCTGTTAAACCTTTCCTCAGAGATAATCCCATTATACCAGGAATGAGTTGCGAACCCTAATACAATACCTAATACAATTGCATTCTTTTTTCAAAAATTGAATGCAGTATTCTGGATGCAGCCTCACCAGAGGCTCTATATAGCTGCAATAAAACTTTCCTACTTTTGTATTCCATTCCCCTAACACTAAACTCCAATGTTCCACTTGCCGTACCTGCAAACTAACTTTGTGATTCACGTACCAACGCATGAAATCCTTTTGTATCTCAGAGTTCTGCGATCTCTCTCCATTTAAATAGTACAGGCAGTCCACAGATTGCGAACGGGATCCTTTCATGATTACGTTCACAAGTCGATGTCTATGCAGTTTGGAACACAGTACAGGATAATACAAAGTAGCCATTCATAAGTACAGGAAATGTTCCTATGTTGGATCTTTAAAATTACGCCCTTGTGTGGGGTTGTGTTTGTAAGTGGGAGTGTTCGTATATCAGATGTTCATAAATTAGGGATCCTTGTGTACTGCTTTTCTGTTATTTCTGCCAAAGTGGATGGGTATCACATTTTTCCATGTTATACTCAATTTTGCTAATTTTTGTTCATGCTCTTAACCTATTAATACCCCTTTGCAGACTCTCTATCTCTGCTTGACAAGTTACTTTACTATCTACCTTGGTATCTGAGGCAAATTTAGCTGTCATTCAATCAACCCTTGCAGATGTTTTCAAATCAACTTGTTCAGAGGTGTTTTTACACACTACAGAAGCAGGTAAGATTTGAACCTAGGCCTCCTGATTCTCAGGTAGGGACGCTACCACTGCACCAATAACCCTTGCATCCGTGTCGTTGATATAGTACACACACCCTGGTGGAACTCGGCTAATTACAGCCTGACAGCCTGAAAAACATCTATTTGTCACTACTTCTGACTTCCTTCATCCGTGCGAATAAGTTAGAGTATGCCATGTGCTATAATCTTGTGCAGCAACCTTTTAAATGGCTCCTTATCAAAGGTCTTTTGGGAACCAATTTATTTGTTTCCCCTTATCCATTCCTGTGTGTCACTTGATAAAAAAATACTCTAATAAATTAGAAAAACACAGTTTCCTTTTCTCAAAACTATACTAGCCCAGATTTTCCAATGGCCAGATAATCATTTCTGAGGCATGAGGTTATAGACATGCTCTCCGAGCCGGTGGGTTTGGTTGCAAATGTTCCATCACCGTGCTAGGTAACATCGTCAGTGCGCCTCCAGTGAAGCATTGGCCTTCTGTCCCGCTTGTTATTTATATGCCCCAGTTTGTTGGAGTGTTTGGTACCACTTCCAGTTCTGTTTCTCCGTGTTTTGACATAGGGTCTAATTCAGTATGTTTGTTGGAGTTCCACTTAGAATACCAGGCCCCTAGGAATTCCTTGGCATGTTTCTGTTTGGCTTGTACGATTATAGATGTGTCAAATTTGTGCTCCTCGTTGTCCATGTGTAGTGTAACAAGTGACAATTGGTCGTGTCTTTTGGTGGCTGGTTGGTGTTCGTGTATTCATATTGTCAGTTTTCTTCTGGTTTGGCCTATGTAGTGTTTCTCACAGTCCTTGCATGGTTTTTTGTATATACCGGTTTTGCTGGTTTTGGGTATAGGATCCTTTGCATTCGTCAGTAGCTGTCATAGGGTGGCTGTTGGTTTGTGGGCTACACTGATACCTAGGGATCTAAGTAGTCTTGTGATCATCTCTGATATGTCCTTTGTGTATGGTAGGGAAATTTTTGAGTCTGGACATGTTGGGTCTGCCTCGGAGGTAACGGCAGATTGTGCTTTTCAGGTATCCATTTCTTTTGAAGACTCTGTATAGGTGCTGCTGTTCTACTTTGCGTAGTTCCGAGTTGCTGCAACGTGTTGTGGTTCGTTTAAATAGTGTCCTGACACAGCTCCGTTTGCGGGCTTTGGGGTGGTTGCTAGTGTAATTGAGTATCTGGTCCAAATGAGTGGTGTTTCTATATACGCTAGTCTGGAGTTCCCCGGTGCTTTTGCGTTCTACCATTATGTCCTGAAAGGGTCGTCAGTGGTTGTTCTCTTCTTTTGGAATTTTATCCTGGTGAAAGATGTTGGTTATGTGTCGGTGAGTTTCTTCTAGTTTTGTGTTTGATAATCATGAAGATGTCATTATATATCGGACCCAAAGTTTGGGTTGTACAGTGGGGACCACTGTCCGTTCTAACCTTTGCATTACTGCTTCTGCAATCAGTTCTGATATTGGGGATCCCATTGGTGTTCTGTTGATTTGTTTGTATATACCAGCATTGAAGGTGAAGTGGGTTGTGAGGCACAGATCTGGTAATTTCATGGTGGTGTCCTTATTGATGATGGTGGTGTCTTGAGGTGCCTGCATACTTGATTCGTTCAGCAGTGTGGCAGTTGTCTCTGGTAGTGAGACAATGGGTCTGAGGGAGACCCCACGATTGTATACCTTGGGGAGTCCATGAAAGCTTCTACGGACTCTCCAAGGTACACAAACTGGGGGCACCCTGAGACCCATTATCTCACTACCAGGCACACCAACATATAGACTTGCCAGAGAACTACAACAGAAATTGAAATACTTAGTTGACAACGCTACCCACTTCCTGCACTCCTCCCAAGAATTCCTCAACATCATCAAGGACACCAGGATAGAAGAGGATGAGATGATGATATCCTTCGATGTAACAGCACTATTTACATCCATAAACATCGACCTAACCAAAGAGACAATTGCCACACTACTGAATGAATTAAGTAGGCAGGCACCCCAGGACACTAGCAACAATCATAAAGCTGCCGGGTGACGAAATGTTTGCAACCAAACCCACCGGCTCAGTGAGCATGTCTACAATCTCATCCGCAACCTGAGCTACAAATCTTCTCAAACTTGAATTTCTGAGGCATAGTTGAGACTTGCCTGTCAGAATTGTGCGGACTCCAAGGGAATTGCACAGGAATTTGAAAATTCTAATTGGCTATTCCCCTGTGCCTGGCGCTGTCTGAAAGTATCCATGTAGAGTCAGAGTCCCGTAGCACAGAGATAAGCCCTTCGGCCCAAACAGGTCTGTACCAACAAAAATCCACGCAAACCCCATTTCCCACACTTGACCCATATCCTTCTAAACCTTTCCTAACCATGTATTTGTCCAAATGGCTTTTAAATGTTGTTAATGTACCCGCCTCAACAACTTCCACTGGCAGCTCATTGCATATGCAAATTAGAAGGTTTTACTGAAGTGAAATTAATAACTTTGCAGGAAAATTTAGACAATTTAAAAGCAAGTCTAAATTCTGGCTACTCCTAACTACTAAAATGACTCCCCTGACTTAACACACAGGCACGCACACATACCACCTATCCTGATCTACCCTAAACACTAGCACTTACCTGGCATCTAACCTCTCACTTTCTGTACACAGTTTACCTTTCACAGGAGCTGAGTCTAAGGTATTAAGGGATATGGCCAAGACAGATCAGCCATGATCTCATTAAATGGTGAAACGGGGGGGGCTAAGTTCACGTCTTACCTGCTTCAGTAGCGTATTTTTCTATATTCTTTATTCATTCACGGCATGAAGGCGTCACTGGCCAGGCCAGCATTTATTGCCCATTCCTAATTGCCTAGAGGGCAGTTATGAGTCAATCACATTGATGTGGGTCTGGAGTCACATGTAGGCCAGACCAGGTAAGGATGGCAGTTTCCTTCCCTAAAGAACATTAGTGAGCCAGATAGGTTTTTTCCAACAATTGGCAATGGATTCACGGTCATCATTAGACTCTTAATTCCAGATATTTATTGAATTCAAATTCCACCATCTAGCAGGATTTGAACCCTGGTCCCCAGAACAGCACCTGGGTCTCTGGATTAACAGTCCAGTGATAATACCACTAGGCCATTGTACTAACATCTCTGAACAAGTTGATTTAAAAATATCCGGGAGCGGAAAGTTTATGTGCTGCTGCACATTAAATATCAATGCAGCAACTAGGCAATGAAAAAGCGGCATGGTTTGACATCCTCTGATTATCTTGCAATACACAGGGTCTGTTAGATTTAAGGTATGTTTCAAGTTTCTGAAAGAGCTGTGATTGGAATGTCCTGCCAGAAACAGAGCTTGCTTTTAATGTAAGAGCGGAGTGGAAATCTGACTGTGATTGCCACTGCTCAGAAAATCCAGTCCACTGATTCTGCCTACCGAGTTATGATTTTGTGCGGCATCCTATTATAATGTCTTCAATAATGAGTATAACAATTTCCCGACAGCTATAGTTTCCTGCTTTCTGTCTTCCACCCTTAATCTACAGATACCTTTCCAGCATTTTGGGACTTTTGGAAGATGCATCTACTATTTCAGCATTCAGTTTTTTTAAGTCCCTAGGATGCATGACATTTTGTCTTTGTCAGCCTTGGGTCTAATAGTTTGCTCAGCATGTTTTCCTTAGTGATGGTGATTGTTTCAAGTTCCTCTCCATTGTTCACATGATCCTTAAGCATCTTAAGGACATTTTCTAAATCTGCTGAATCAAGATAGTCATAAACTTACTGTTCCACACTTCTGCTACTTCCTTGTTTCCATGATCAGATCCCTATTCTTCCAGTCTACATATAGGTTGACATTGCCCATGACCACTGCCGTTCCTTTCTTACGTGCCCTATTTATCTCTTCCTGCATGTTCAGTCTGACAGTGTAACTACTGTTGGAGAATCTATAAACTATTCCAACACATGTCTCTCACCTGTACTGTTTTCTATCTCTACACAATCTGATTTTATACCTTGCCCTTTTGAGCTAAGGCCATCTGTCCTTAGTGAGTGCCATTGCTCAAAGTTCCCCAACACAATTACTTGGTTTAAAACTTTCTCAACAGCTATGTTAGATGATTTGCAAGAATACCAACCCCAAAAAAGGTGAGGAGAACCATCCTATTAGCTTATGTAACTGTGCCAGAAATTTATTAGTGCTCTGTTTGAAACAATCTGCTCCAGAGGCGAGGGAAGAATGAGAAACCTGAGAGTAGGCTTCTCCGTTTTTTTGCTATTTCTCTGCGGGCGCAACCTCAAAAGTACAACTACTTGTGAGCCCATATAACCGAAAATGTGGTCAGTTTAATTAGAAATCCTTAACTGTGAAAATGCACAGGCCATTCACCCAGCTCCCTGATTTATGATGAAACTTGGAAGTGGGCTGCTAATGTCATAGTTTAGTTAAAGGAGTCATAACTTTGTCTCGTTATTAACCAGAGTGGTTATGAATCTGTAAACAGTCCTGTTCTTCTGGTAGCGACTAAGTCAGAAAAATAATGCCCTATAAATGAAAGCAAGAGAATGTTCTGTGGATTTGAACAAAATTTGACAGATTGATGAGAAGCATAGAAAATTGGAGCTAGAGTTAAGCTGTTTGGTCCATTGAGCCCACTTTACCATTCAACAACATCCTGACTACCTCCATACCATCCTTCTGCTCTGTCTCCCCGTACCCTGTGATATCTTTAGCCTGTAGAAGTCTACCTAATTCTTTTTAAAATATACTTAATGACTTGATTTCCACATACTTCTGTGGTAGAAAATTCTACAAGTTCACCACTCTGAATGAAAGACTTCTCATCACAGTCCAAAATAGCCTACCATGGTTACTGAGACCAAGAAACCTTGATCTGGAGTGCCCAGTCAACCCAGTCTCTCCTTAGTGATAAACATGTCAATCCAGGAATTAGTTTGGTGAACCTTTCGGTGCATGACTCTATGACAAGTGATTTTCCTTATATAGGTAAGGACACTGAGTTGAACACTTGTATCCCAGGTGTGTGTTCTCACCAAGGCCCTGTACAACTGCAGTAAAATGACTTAAGTCCTAGACTGAGATCAACTTACTGTTTGCTTTCCTAACTGCTCGCTGTACCAGCATGCTTGCTTTCAGTGACTCGTGTACAAGGACAACCAGGTCCCTTTGTACATCAACCTTTCCTAATTTATCACTATTTAAATAGTACTCTGCCATTCTGTTTTTCCTACTGAAGTGGAACAATTTCACACTTATCCACTGTATACTGCATATGCTATGCATTTGTTCATTCACTTGACTAAATCGCCCTGAAGACTCTTTACATTGTCCTCACCATTGTCAGTTCCACTCAGTTTTGTGTCATCATCAAACTTGCAAATATTGTATTTGATTTCTTCACCAAAATTATTGATATATATATTGATAATAGCTGAATCCAAGCACTGATACTGGTGGATACCTCTTTATCACTGTCTTCTGCTCTGAAAAAGACCCGTTTATTCCTGTGCTTACCTTTGTGTCTCTTAGCTTAATTTCAATCCATGCTAGAATATTACCACATACTTTGATTTTGCCCACTAACCTCTTATCTTGAACTTTATCAGAAGCTTTATGAAATGCAAATACACTGCATCCACTGGATCTCCCTCATCCAATATACTAGTTACGTAATCAAAAAAAACTCCAGTTTGTTTGTCAAACTTCCTCAGTCAAATTAGTTAAGGCCCTGTGACCATGAACCCCTCATTAGGGCTTTGGATGAATGGTCTTGTCAGTATGAAGGCACAGCATTCATATTTGAATTCTACATCTTAAGTTGCTTAGATAGTATATAGAACTGCAGCTTATACCATAAGATGTGAAAGCATTAAATGTTGTATTTTAAATGCAGAGTCTCTACACAGAAATTTTTCACCCCTTGTTATTTCCCATGTGACAATACATGAGGTGTAGTGATGGTGCAGTGGTATTATTGCTAGATTATTAATCCAGCGACCCAGCTAATGTTCTGGGGACATGGATTGGAATCCTGCAGCGGCAGATGGTGGAATTTGAATTACATTTGTTAAAAAAAAAAAAAATCTGATGATACCATTGTCGGTTGTCAGAAATTTCCATCTGATTCACTTGTTTCCTTTTGGGGATGTAACTGCCATCCTTACCTGTTCTGGTCCACATGTGACATCAGACCCACAGCAATATGGTTGACTTTAACTGCCCTGTGGGAAATTATTGAATCCTCTGGGCAGTTAGGGATGGGCAATTAAATGCAGGAATAGTCAGCAATGCCCTATCCTGTGAATAAAAAAAAATGTCTGAGCCCTCTGACTGAGAAATAGTACTCAACTACCAAATAGAATATTTTAGAATATTTTCAACTGAATAGATATGGTCAGTGTTATTGGAGAAAATTGTGCAAATTTTTAATGAACACAGTGTTGGAGCAATAAACTATAAAGTTGTATATTTTACTGTATATATTCTAATTCATAAATCTGTTGTTTAATTATCCTAATTCATAAATCTCAATTATGTTAAAGCCAGAATACAGAACATAATGTTTAAGTTTTGTAAATTTAAAATATTTCCTTTCCCTGCAAATTTTATTGTTAATCAAATGTGCATTTTATAATAGGTGCCAAGATAGGGCCGGAAGAAGCTTATTATTTATATGTCTGTGGACCCGACATCACCACCGTCATGCCCTGCAAATATGGCAAATCACAAGCGAATTACTCTAAGTATGTTACTCTGGAGATTCTACAATGTGATCAGATTAGTGAATTTTTCATGAAATATAAGGAAATGGACACTAGCCCTCTGGTGGTGAGTTGAGCTGTCATAGCTGATTTGTTTAAATCCAGTGATCAATGATATGCTAAATGTACAATTATGGTTTGATTATCAGTTAAAATAAATGCCACCTTTCGAAATTTTTTTATACAGTTAGTTATTATGATCTATAAAGCACTGCTTGAAAGGGTGATGGAAGCAAATTCCAAGGAATTAAGTGTGTACTTGAAAATGAAAATGTTGCAGGCCTATGAGGAAGAAGCAGTGAGGTTGAATTAACAGGACAGTTTTTTAAGAAGTGTTAACCCAGGAAAAATAGGTCAAATAGCCGCCTTCTCTGCTGTGATTCAGAGGTTACTTTATCTAACTAGGTAAGGAGGTTTAGCTAGACAATCCTAATAATTCAGTCAGCTGAACCAGTTACCTCTGCAGACCCAGTATGTCCCAGGTTCTAACCATATTGTGTGCTAGGTTAGGTGTTCTCCTTTGTGATGTCAAAATTGACCTCTATTTCTAGGGCATGGAGGAAGAAATTAACCTAGATTAGGTACTGATTCCCATCTTACAACTTCCTCTGGAAATATATAGAATTATGTAACACAGTAGGCCATTCAACCCAATAAATCTATGCTAATGTTGATGTTGCACATGAGCACCTCTCACCTTGCATATCACCTTATCAACATATTCTTCTACTCCTGTCTTCCTCGTGTATCGCCATCTCCCTGATAATGTGTCACACCTGGGAAATTTTCCACATTTATGACACAGCTCTGTAAGAAATGGAACTTGAATTTAGGCTGTTTGGCCCAGAGGTAGGGATACTACCACTGCACCATAAAAACCCGAATTGCATGAGTGTATCCTGTCCACAAAATTTAGGACAAATCCAGTCAGGCCAATTACCATCCTATCATTCTACTCTCAATTGTCAGCACAATCATATGAAGCCATTGTTGAATCCAGTAAAAAGTCATTTGGTTCACTCATGTCCTTTTGGGATGGAAATCTGCTATCATTTACCTGGTCTAGTCTATATGTGTCTCCACACCAACAGCAATATGGTTGCCTTTTGAGTGACCTCTGGAAATGCCTAGCAAGCCACTCAGTTATGTCAAACTGTTTTAAAGTCTTAGAAAAGTAATGAAACTGTACAGACGACCAGACATTGACCTAGGTATTGGAAATGACAACAGCAAATCTCTCAATCCTCAAAGTGTGCCTTATTAACATCTGTGGCTTGTGCCAAATTTGGAGGAATTGTCTCACAGACCAGATAAGTATTAGCCTGATATAGTCATCCTCTAAGAACCATACTTTATAGACAATGACCCAGAAATTACCAAAATCATCCTCAATGTTGACTCCAGACCCCTGATGTTTCATGGAATCAGGACATGGGCAAGGAAGCCTTCTGATTATCACCTATCACAATCATCTCTTTCCTGCGCTAATCTCACCAAAAGTAGCTCAGTAGTAACAGAAGTTTGATATAATCTGAAACATTTTTTTTTTGCTGTTTGCAAAAAGCAAACTGTGGATTGTACTCAACTAATTGTGTTTGAGAATTCATAAAACACAGTCCAACGCTAGATGTCATTTTGCAAATGGACATCACTGAAGTTAAACAATGGATTTATAGGTCCAAGACTTACCTGTAAACCCTTTTGTTTTAAATAGTGTGCCATTGTTTGCGATTCTCCAGTCCTCTTCCCCTCCTGTGATCAAGTTATAGCTTGTGGCTCTGCAATTCCCACACTCACTTCCTTTACTGTCCTTGGTCCTGGTGTCTTATGCATTGTAACTACAGCTTATCCAACATGGTTACCTTACCTATTTTAACCCCTTCCCTTGTCTGAATTGGTTGATAAATGTACATCAATGTCCAATGTGTGCAAATATCACTGATTTTTTTGAGTGACAGCAACAATATTAATATGTGTTTTGAACTAAAGCTTGATGCTTTTTTATAGGATAGTCTTTCTGTTGTTTACAATCCAAGATGCCCTGCTCAATATACAATCTACGAGCCAGTTATTCGACTCAAGGGCCAAACACGAACTATATCATCACAGAGGCCATTCAGCTTGAAGGATATCCAAAGCAATATAGTGAAACCTCAGCAGCTAAAGAACTTGCAGCCTTTGGAGCCTCAAGACCTTCAGCGTATCCTGCATAAAATTGGAGGAATTGGCGTATTCATCTTTCTGTTTGCCAGAGTAAGAGATGGCCATTTTTGAAATTTCTGATTCTGGAGTTGAGAGGGTTGGCTTATGAGGAGAGACTGAGTAGATTGGGATTATATTCATTGGAATTCAGAAGATTGAAGGGGGATCTTATAGAAACATATAAAATTATGAAGGGAATAGATAAGATAGAAGTAGAGAGGATGTTTCTACTGGCAGGTGAAGCTAGGACAAGAGGGCATAGCCTCAAGATTAGAGGGAGCAGTTTTAGGACTGAATTGAGAAGGAATTTCTTCACCCAGAGGGTTGTTAATCTATGGAATTCCTTGCCCAGTGAAGTAGTTGACGCTACTTCAGTAAACGTTTTTAAAAAAAAAGGTAGTTTTTTTTGAACAATAAAGGAATTAAGGGATACGATGAGAACGCGGGTAAGTGGATCTGAGTCCACGAAAAGATCAGCCATGATCTTATTGAATGACGGAGCAGGCTTGAAGGGCCAGATGGCCTACTCCTGCTCCTAGTTCTTATGTTCTTATGTACTTAGCAATAGACATTTGTCATGAACACTTTAGCAATGCAATGGTCCATGCATTATCTATTTCTGAAATGAGCCAGCTCCCAATCAGTACACAGTTAATTGGTTTCAGGTGAAGTTACTGCAGAAGTTAGTTACATTTGGCTCGGATAAGGGCCATTTTGGGGTGCAGTGGTAATGTCCCTACCCTGGACCAACAGATGCAGGTTCAAGTCCCACCTGTATTAAAAGTGTGTAATAACATCTCTGAACAGGCTGATTAGAAAAATAAGATTTTTTTTTTTAAATGGCTTGGATCATGGCCCTCTTGGGGTGCTGTGGTAGTGTTCCCTACCCCTGGCCTGGGAGACCCCATTTCAAGTCCCATGTATCCAGAGATGTGTAACATCTATGAACAGTTAAATTAGAAAAATATGTTCAGTTTAAAAAAGAACCCCAAAAATACACATTAGTTGATCATAGGCCCTCTTGTGGTATAGTGGTAGCATCCCTACCCCTGGACTGAGAGGCCCGAGTTGAAGTCCCACTTAATCCAAAGGTGTGTAATAACATCTGAACAAGTTGATCAAAATAAATAGTTTACAGTTTGGCTTGGGATTAAAAAGAAATAAAACAAACAATTTAGCTTAGGGGCTAGTGTGGTGTAATGATAGTGTTTCTACCTCTAGGTCAGAAGGTCCAGGTTCAAGTCCAACTTGTCTTGAACAGGTTTATTAAAACTATCTACAAACTAGAAGACTGATGATCTGCATGAAATCAAACAGTTGGAAACGCGGGTGATTCAGTGTTGGTGGTTAATAGGTGAAAATTGCCACAAGTGATTTGGTGGTGGAAAAAGCCATTCAGTTGTGTGTGATAGCACTTCTGCGTATAGAAAGAACTTTGGCTCATAGGGCTTTCTGATGCAGTGGTTGTGTTCTTACCTCTGAGCCAGGGTGCCCAGATTCAAGTTCCACCTGCTCCTGGCATGTTTGATTGGAGCACCTTGGCACTCGAGGGAAAACTACCCAGGGTTTCAACTTTTGAATGTTACCGTCTCTACCATTGGGTCAGAACAGAGTTTGGTCTGTTGAGCAAGTGAAGAGACTAAATTTGTAACATTTTACAGCGTACAAGGGGATGATTTTGCCCACTGGGCTTGTGACAGTCTATTCCATTCATCTATTTTTTGGTCTGAGGATGGCGAATTGGGAGCCTGCAATGTTCAGTTCTATTCTGTGCACAAGCAAGACGTGTTGAGCTGTTATAAGGTGTCTGTGAGAAATGTGGGCAGGTGTTGCATTGGCAACGCTGAAACTGGCTATCAGATGGACAGTGATCTCTATTTTTGACGTTTGCACATAATAATTATGTATTTGATTGGAAAAACCCATATATATTCCATTTGCTGATTAGTTTGATAGCTATAAATTTGTGTCATGCTGACATATGAACAAACGTACTACTGGCTGTATCTGTTCAAGTATTGTGATGTCCGGGTGAAAGGCAACAGTATGCAAACAGATGCAACATAGAAAATTCATTCCACTTCTGTCCGTTTTGGTTTTCAGTTATACCACACCAAGTACCTTTTTGCCATTTGGAACTGGCAAATGCAGGGGTGAAAGGTTTATCCTTCTGACTCTAGATTGGGTTCGGGTAATGGGTCTGGCAAGGTTAGATATAATTCTTGAGCATAAAGGGATCAAGGGTATGGGGGGAAAGGAGGAACAGGATACTGATTTGGATGATCAGCCATCTTCATATTGAATGTAGGAGCAGGCTCGAAGCATGGAATGGCCTACTCCTGTTACTTTCCATGTTTTTGTGTTATGCACTGATTTCACCCACTGGGATCTGGGTCTAAGTCTAACTTGGACACAGGGAGAACCTTTGGGATGAGGCACAGACTGGACTTCGGCAATTCTCAGAAGGCTATTGAGCCATACTTGGCATTGCAAGCAAGCAAATGGCTGTATGTATGTTACTGTACACATCCATCCATGTTGCATGGCATATACATACCAGAATTCAGCACAACCAATGTCACAAAAACCAAGCATTGAATCCATCTGACAAGTAACATTTTGTTACTTGAAAAAAAAAGTATTCACATTTACTTTAGCGAAATAAAAATTGTATGCACACAGATCAAGAATTGCCTTTTATTTTGTTTGGAAGATTAAATATTTTCTTTTTCTCCAGTCTGTCGAGATTAGTAACTGTGAAAAGACGCAAGCTCTAGCACTGAAAGTTATACTTACTTTGACCAAGTATAACCAGCAGAGAGTCCAGGAAATGGAGAGCTGTCATGGCTATGCTATGATTCACCAAGTGCTCATAAAATCGAAATGTATTGTAGGTTTCCACATCTTAAAGGTAATGCAATATTTTCTACATCTGAGTCTCTTCCCTGTGATTAGTTAAACATTTGTTTCATTAAAATGTTACTGACTTTCACACAAAGTGGAGTAATATGCTTATTTTGCCTATGTTATTATTCAGGCTCAGTCCATTGACTTGCATGTGTTCCCTTGAAGGATATTGCAGTTCACTTTATCTTGAATATCTAAGTCAGTTACAACTATAGGCTGAACTGAGAGAGCGAATCTAAAGGTTTACTAAGTCTGACTAGTTATAAGACCCATTCCAAGTACAAGTACAAGCTTTAGAGAATTTAAGTTTATCATAAGAAGTAGAAAAGAATAATAATAAAAACAGTGATTTCTAGTTGATTCACTTTGGGACACCAGCTCAGGTTCTGATCAACTTTGCACATGTCTCTTTTTCTGTTCGTTTACCCAAGTTGTCCTTCTGTTTTCGGTTTTCTCTTCGTCCACTGAATCACTATGAATCGTTGCTTATTAACTGTCATAAGTCACTGTCTCTGGTGTGTGATCAGAGGTGTTCTGAACTCGAATTGGCTTGCTAAAGCATGGACAGCACACAATAGATCTTACATTGACTGTACTGTATATACCCAAACTGAACTGATTTATTTAAAAATGGTCGTCTTACTGATTTTATTCCTACTATCTCCTGATATCCCATTAATGACAGCTTGTCTCTCTCAGCCTACTAATTTTGTAGATTTCTACCAAGATAATATGGCACCAGTACAGGAATTTGTGCATCTGCTTGAAGTATGTAATGTCACCTCTCATCATTATATATTGGCCCAAATGTCCCAACTCATACATTTAAGTAATCTCCAAAACCTAACAGTATCCTTTTAAACAAAAGAGCAATGTTTGATGCCACAAAAAACTGCTGTGTTAAAACTGAAGCTACAAAGTACAGCAAAGAAATAGAAACATACATAAAGCTTGAAATAGCTATTCAAAATTAATAGCTAGAAAACTAAATTATTTTAAAACACAGCTGTGTCTTTGAAAAGAAAGCAATTTGTCTGAAAGCATTTGCACATTTTGTCAGCCTAAATTTACATTGGCTTCAGCCAGGAAAACAACCATATAACCATAAATCCATGGCCTCTTAATGTGGACTAATGTGGCTATTCTTCCTTCCAGAAATTGTTTACAACTAAATCACCCTGAACAGAACCTAATTTAACTCCTGAATTTCTTAATCAAGTCAAAATTATTGATAACTGAATCAATATTCTATACTTTTCATTAGAAGTGAAAGGTATACAATGTGTAGTATGACTGATTTGATTTATACCACTTATTGTGTCCTGATTAGTCAGTTTCTCTGCTTTATCTCTGGCCTGCCTATCTCTTTCCTATGAGCCCAAGTCCCTCCCCCACACCACCCCGCCTCTTCCCCCCCCATAAGACTGTAGGACATAGGGGCAGAAGAACGCCATTCAGTGAGGTCATGTCTGATCTGATAATCCTTGCTTTCATTTTCCTTCCTCATGGCCATACTGATTAAAAATCTGTCTATCTCCGGCCTCAAATAAATTGAATAACTCAGCTCCTTTGCGATTTTAAAAACTTCCACAGATCCACTCCCCTCTGAAAGAATAAGTTCCTGAGCTGTGTCTTAAATGAGATTGCTTTATTCTGAGATTCTACTCTGTTTTCTAGATTCTCGCACAATGGGATACAACCTCCCTGTATCTGCCCTGTCAAGCCCCTTGAGAATCTTGCATGTTTTAGTAAGGTCATATTTCATTCTTCAGAAGTCGTGAGTTCAAGCTCAACCTCCCCTCTTTAGAAAATCCATCCACTCCCATAACCGGACTAATGAACTGTCTGTGGACTGCCTCCAATACCATCGTATCTTTCCTTAGATAAGAAGACCAAAAACTGTTCGCTTTATTCCAGACGTGGTCTGACTGTTGCTTTGCGTAGTTTTACAAAGAACTTCTCCCCCCTCCTCCTCATCTCCTCTTCTCCCTCCCAACTTCGCTCTTCTGCACCCCGCCACCACTTCTCTCTTTCCCATCCCCCTCCCCACCTCTCTCTCTCTCCCTCCCTTTCATCCCTTGATTATTTAGTATTTTTGGAGTGCTATCTACCTTGAAGATTGATGCAAAGTTATTCAACTCTTCTGCCTTTACCTGGTTCCCCATTAATTATTTCTCAGCCTCATTCTCTGACGCCCCTTTCTTCACTTTGACCTCTCTTTTGGTTTTTATGTATTTAAAGAAGCTGTTACAATTTTTAAATTTTCAATTTATTTTATCCCTCTTTTTTTCTTGGTCATCGTTTGGTCAGTTTTAATACTGCCCTCATCCTCTTCCACTAATCTTCACCATGTTGCATGTTTTTTTTTCTTTTAATTTAGTATTATCCTTAACTTCCTTAGCTAACACTGTTTGGTTGATCTTCATAGAGTCCTTCTTCCTCACTGGGATATATTTTTACTGATCGTCATGAGTTGTCTTTTTTAAAAGTTTGAGGAACAATGGCAAACATTTAGTTTTGCTTATCTCTCTTCCCAGTCCAGCCCTGCCAACTGTGCCCTCATCCCAGTTGTAATTACTCTTATTTATATTTCTGATACCAGTTTCTCTCACTCAAACTGAATGTATAGTCTCTGTTCCCTCGGGTAATCTTTTAGTCTGACATTATGTATTAAATCTGCATCATCGCATATTACTAAATCCAAAATAGCCTGATTAGATCTGCAACATGTTCCAGGAAACTGTCCTGAACAGACTATGAATTCTTCTGCCTTGTGGCTATCTTTGCTAATTTGATTTTCCCAATCGAAGTGAAAGTTAAAGTCACCCACGATTAATAGTCTGCAGTTTGTACATGCCTTGATTCTCTGTCCCTCCCTCTAGCCCCTCACTCACCACCCTTACTTGCTCTCTCCATTCCCACTTGCTCACTCTGTCCTCCCCTCTTGCTCTTGCTCTCTGTCTCAAGCGTCCTCACCCCCCTGCCTTCCCCACTTGTTCTTTGCCCCACCCCTGCTCTCAGAGAATAGTACAGCACAGGAATTGGCCCGTCATGTATGCCAACATTATGCCGTTTCAACTAATAAGGCCGTAAAATAGAGGAGCAGAATTAGGCCTTTTGCACTTTGAGTCTGCCCCACCATTCAATTGTGACTGATATGCTTCTCAGCCCTGTTGTACCTTCTGCTATACCCCTTGATCTCCTTACTAATCAAGAACCTATCTATCTCTCTTTGTCTGCCTGTCTATCTCTGTCTTAAATACGTTCAATGACTTGGCCTCCATGATGCTCTGCGGCAATGAGTTCCACAGATTATCACCCTCTGGCTAAAGAAATTCCTGTTCATCTGGGTTCTAAAGGGTTATCCCTTCCCTCTGAGGCTGTGCCTTTGGGTCCTAGTCTCTCCTCCTAGTGGAAACATTTTCTCCACATTCACCTCTATTCAGGCCTATCAGTATTCTGTAAGTTTCAATCAGATCCCCCCATCATCCCTCTAAACTCCATTGAGTACAGACCCAGGGTCCTCAATTTCTTCTTGTATGATAAGCCTTTCATATCTGGGATCATTCTTGTAAACCTGTTCTGGATCCCCTCTAAGGCCAACACACCCTTCCTTAGATGTAGGGCACAAACTGCTCACAATATTCCAAACGTGGTCTCACTGGAGCCGTTTACAGCCTCAGCAGTACATCTGTGCTCTTGTATTCTACCCCTCCTGAAATAAATGCTAGCATTATATTTATTGTCCTAACTGCCAACTAAACCTGCATATTAACGTTAAAGTTCTAAACAAGGACTCCCAAGTCACCTTGTGCTTCAGATTTCCAACGTCTTTCCTCATTTAGAAAATCATCTGTGCTTCTTTTTCTTCCTACCAAAGTGCGTAACCTCTCACTTTCCCACTCCCCTTCTTCCCCCTCTTCCCCCTCTGCTCCCCCCCCATCTGAAATTGTTTTGACCACCAAAAATTGCCTTGGTGATTTTAATGTACTACTGATCCCACAATGGATTAGTATTACATTAAAATTCTCCTGTAAATTCTGTGTGGAAGCTTTGTGTCTATTTTGAGAATAAAGAAAACAGTGATCATCTGCTTTACCTTATGGCCCTTTATAGCATCTATATTTTTAAACTTGCTCTGCTATACATGTGCAGGAAATGTTTAATTTTTTATGCTGCCAGTTGGTCATATACAGAGAGATGCATATAGATTTGCTAACTTTATGCTTTAAAAACTGTATTTCAGGCTTTACTTGATGGATGCTGCAGTGCTCCAATTCTTAAATTTAATGAGTCTACGAAGCAATTTGAAATTGATACAGAATCCGTTGCTGTGATCCAGGATGTGAAGCTGCTGTCTGAATTGTTATTGGATTGGAAGATCTGGTCTAAAGCACAGGTTTTTATCCCCCCAGTGTTCAGATTTTTATTTGTTTCTATCGCCATTAAGTACTGGATTGGAATGAGGACTTCCTAATTTGAAAGAACAACAATTGTGAAATGATATCCTCAACAAGAAGAAAATTCACTTAAGAACTTAAGTGGAAGTAATGAGACGTTGTTGCTCATTCTGTATAACACACAGTTATCCAATTCCTGATGCAGTATTTTTAAGAAATATTCTCACAACACACACCTTTATCATTCTGCTCTTATTTAAACAGAAGTTTTCTTCTGAATGCTTTAGTGGGATTGTTGTATACATTAGGTGTCACTAGGTTCTATAGGTCAGTGATCCAGAGGGAGAGTAAAATCTTTCACTTTAGTCAGTAATCAGGCTGTGACTGCAAGTGAGGCTCATAACTGGGGCTGCTCCTGCAAACTCTGTCCCCCTGCTCTCCCTCTCAATCTCTTCAATCATGTTCAAAGCATGTAGCAGCGCTTAGGTGAGGCTTCTCAGCTTCTTGGAAGGTCCCTGCCTCAAGCAGTGCAGCAGCTAGGGAGAGCTGGGTGAGTGTAACAAAGGAGTGTCACTGAGGAGAGATAGCTAGGGAGGGAAACCTCCTTTTGTCAGCCTCGGCCTCCCTAACCTCCTCAGCTACCGGCTCTATCTCTCCCTCATCCCCAGCCGCCTTCCTAGCACCTTCCTCATCATCTTCACCAACCCACCCCTATCCTCAGCTAGTGCAAAAGGAAGCCACTTCAAACCTGCTTACCAGCTGCGACACATTTGGTACAGGCCATCTGTGCGTACATTGCTGTTGATGTTACTGTGCCTGGAATGCAAGTTTTCCAATCTTACCAGTGTAGCTACCAATATTGTATATTTTTGTTTTGAAAATAGAATGGTGTCTGGGAAACACTGATGGCAGCTCTTGAAGTGCTCATTAGAATCCGTCATCCAAAGCAGATGTTCAATGTCAAGCAGCTTCTAAAGTCCCAAGTGGTTTATCGCTTCCTTTTGACTTGTCAAGTTCTTCAGGTATGAACTGTATTTGTCTAAATTTCCACTTCTTTCCCCTTCCCAATGTCTTCCTATTCTCTTGATGCAGGACTCTACTAGGGTACATTTTACAAAGTGTTGGTACCTTTTTGATGCTTTATCCAAATGAGCATATTCCATGTGATCCTAGACATTGAGAGTTAACAGTCCTTTAATTGTGGAAAACATGATGTCTTCTCCTGACAGTCACAAGTTGATCTAGTGACATGGGTCACGAGATAATAATCATGCGTGGGAGCCTCGCATATTTGTCTGTTTAATTCAGGGTCAGAATTCCTTTCCTGGCTGAAATCAGTAAACACAAAGCAGCATTGGAAATCCTTTGGATTTGTATGACAAAGTACTAGAAAAACCTCTTGCCTGTTAAATAGTTAGTAAGATCTCTGAGGTCATTTGTCATGAGGTTCAAGTATAATTAACATAAACTGAAGAGAGATGGTAGCACTGTATTTTTATTATAATAAGCATGCAATGATAGTAAGGGTTTTATAGTAATTAAGTTTTCCTGCCTGCCTGCATCTGATGTAGTGTTCTATCCTTCCCCTCTGTCACTTGTGGAACCTTAACATCTTTATTCCCAAGTTCATAAAGTTTTTGTCTGGAGAATTGCTGCTAAAAATCAGAACATAGTAATTTTATCATATATATGCAGTTACTGAGATGCCTTAAAAATGCTAGTACTGAATCAGCTCCTAGTTCAAGCAGTCAGCATGCTTTTTCATTGCTAGCTTGATCATGTGGTCTTGAGAAAGGACAACTATTAGTTTAACATAATACAGTACATATTCCCTCCACAGGTAATTATAAAATCACTGTTCAGAAAATGGAAAATTCAAACTGTGTCACACAAATTTTATACCTTGCAATGGTGCTAATGTATCTTCAGAAATATAAGCCTGGATTTTCACTGAATTAGGGAGCTTTTTAAAAATGATGGGCAGGACCCAATTGTAAAATTCCTGACTTCATTCCCAGGATTTCCTATTTTCAGGCGTGCCTTTTAAACATCCAGACTGTTTTGGATTGCGTGCCCCCAGCCAGCACACTCAACTTCATTGCAGATAGACACTTTTTCACAACTTTCACAGAGTTGAACTAGCTTTTTAAGGAGTCTTAGTTCATGACTTGCCATTGTTTGCTGCACCTCAAAGGAGTCATGAGCCATAGTCTGTATGGGAAACTTATTGAAAAGTGAGTATAAATGTCCTTCTCATGCACCCCAATGCCAGGCTATGCCTCCCCTAAGGACCCACTTGGTCCTCCATTCCAAGGTAACTCCAATCCCCCAAACAACTCATATGCACCCAATTTCTCACGCCTGCCACCAGCATGCAAGGGGCTGTGGCATTTCCTTTCACATCCATCCACAATACACTATATAGAAGCAATGAAACCCAATGATGGAGTTGGATGTGGGGGAAAAAAAACTTGGCTGAGAGACCAGAAATCAATATTCTTTCAAAACACTTGAGCTCTTAGTTGATTAACAGCATTGCAAAAATGAAGTAGAGATCAGCCAGCCAATATTTATTTACTCACAGTCGAGGTTTCAAGCGCAGCTTTTTCAGCTATTCAAATATTAAATGTAAGTGATGCTTTCTTACCCTGCAGTAAAAAGGAGGTTATTTTTTAATATCTTGGAAAGACATCGGTGATCTTACTGCCACTGTAACGACCATTGTTCCTATACGTTTTATAGTGGATAAATAGGAATGCCATGGCCTGGCATGAGGAGCCTGTAGGTTGTTTATGGTACATATCTTGGCAGGGGAAACATGAGGGGCCATAGGGTTGTTTGGGAGGCATGAACTGGCATGGATTATGTATGGACAATGGAGGAATGTGAGGGGTAAGGAATGGCCTTTCTGTTGTTATTATAAATGAGATAAGGTTCCGTGGCACCAAGGTGGACCTACTAAATAGCCAACTTCTGTACCCAGCAGCCATAGCTGCCTTTGAATATTTTACAATGTTGATGGCCCACCTGCAGCTCAAACCGACCCTTTGACGTCATCAGTATCCTGAAATCTATCACAATCTATCTTGAATTTACTCATTGACTAAGCTTCCAAAGCCCATGGAGGTAAAGAATTCTAAAAATCTCCTACACTCTGCCTGAAAATATTATCTCATCTCAGTAGTAACTGGCTTGCCTCTTATTCTGAGATGATGTCTCCTGACTCTGAAACCTCCCCACGCCCACATCAAGGGAGACATCTTTTGTTTCATCTACCCTGTCTAGTTCTTTTAATCATTTTGTATGTTTTAATGAAATCCGTCTCATCCCTCTAACCTCTGAGTATAGGTGCAGTGTCATCAATCTCTCCTTAAGGCAGTCACACCATCCCAGAAATTAGACTAGTGATTGTCTGCTGTACTCCCTCTGTGGAATGTATATTCGGGTGCAATCTGACCAAGATTCTGTGCAATTGAAGCAAGATATTTTTGCACTGGTGCTCAAATAGCCTTGCGATAAAGACCAACACCATTTGCCTTTCAGATTGATTGCTGCATCCATACATTAGCTTTCAGTGCCTTATAAACAAGGATGCCCAGATCTTTACTCCATTATCAACATGTCCTCTAATAATAAGCATTGCTTTACCCCTAATAAAACATCTTAACTTTTTTTTTTAAAACGCTGAAGTTTATGTAGACTAATCAGTACTGAGGTCTTGGTTGGAAAAGAAGACACTAGCCAAATTTGTTACAGGAAAGATTCTATTTCAGATAAATATCATTTTTCTTTGGGCCAAACAAAATATTGCGCATAGTTATGCCAACTTACTTTTTTCTCTCTGTCTTCATTTTGGTTTCTCAGGAACATCGAGATGAACACCTGACATCTATCCCTTGGGAAGTCTGTAGATCATTTGTGAAGATCATTGAGGAAGTACTTGGTTCGCCACCAGATCTGGAGTTGTTGAAGCTGATTTACAATTTTCTGTTGGCAGTACATCCTCCCACTAACACCTATGTTTGCCACACCCCACCAGGCTTTTACTTTTCCCTCCATATAGGTGAATGGAATGCTTACTGCTTTTAATCAGTTTAACATGCACATCCAAGCATTAAGGGCTTTGGTGTGGAGAATAATTATTTCTTTGATTTGTGTTCCCACACAGCATCCACATAGAAGATTGCTTCATAACAGTCACTTTACTGACAAATTACTTGCATAGAGCACGTTAGTACATTTCACTGAGACGTGCTTTGCAAATAAAAATATTTGATTCCTTTTATATAACATTTACTATAAAATGAGTTAGAGATTGTTAAAATGTATGGAAATTTATTTAATGATATCTAAATTTGCTATTAATCTAATGCATGGAAATGAGAGACTATGTAATTTCATCATGAGGTTTCACCACTAGCATGCCCATGCTTAAATTATTTATCTGAAATTCTTCCCTTTGTTATTTTTAGCAGGGCTGTTAATCTGTTATAACTAAATGGATTAACTCCTCTGCTAAGGAAAAATCGGGGAAGAATTTTAAATGCTTCAGTTAACACCTGTTCTCAAATATCAGTGCATAATTTCAAGGCCAAGAGGGCTGAAGTGAGTGAGAGTTTTTGATCAATTTGTGATCCAGTGATCTTTATTAGTACAACTAATATGTGTAAAATGGCAATTCAATTTGAAGCATTCTGTTATTGCACTATATCTGTAAACTCATTTTAAAAGAAGCGTATTAAGCACTTTAAGTTTCTCAACCCTAAAAATGCTATACAAATGTCATAATAAAAATCAATTTATTTGTAAAGCACTTCACCTGAAGTGCCCCATGTAATTAGTGTGAATATAACTGACAAATTTCTAGATGGCCAAAAAAACCATCTGCTAAACAGTTATTTTTTTAATCTTGAATTGAAGATGGTTTGCTTTACTTTATGGGTATTCTTGAATGTGTCTTCAGAACTTTTGCTTCTACGTTAGTCACATGCAGATTCCTCTGTTTCTTTGAGAACATGAATTGCCTTCTCCTTAACAATTTTGATTTTGTCTCTAATGCAAACTAATTTTACATCTCAAAGTCCAGGTCCATGCTACAAAGTTATAAGGGAATGATCCTGATGCCTGTTGTAACAAATCCTTCCTTAACATACACTTTCTCTACTTAGTTTTTCTGCGTTTGGTGCTTTCTCCTTGAGTTTTCTGGCTCAGTGTTGCCAAGTTAAGGGATTTCACAAAATAACTTGCATAATAGGAATTGCCATAATGGGGGTCACTTGGTACACTAAAACACATCCAGGCAAACCACTAAAATAAGCATTGGTGATCGTATGTTTTTGGAGGTAGTTTTTACCTGGTTTAACCATTCTTGACTCATTCCCTAGTTATGCTTTGAGTAGATACTTGTACAAAATTGTTAATGATTTCACAATTGACACGTTATTTCATATTGAACATAGGTCTAAAACAATGAATATATTTTGTAGATGTATGTGAATACTATGTGGAAGTGTTTAAATAGATATTTTGTATGAAAGATTGCTATCGCTGAGAATAATGTAGAATTTGATTTGTTGTAGCATGTACTAGATTCATTATAAAAATAAACAAAATTTATTTTGACTTTCAGATGGTAAGATCTTTGAAGAAAAGGTCAAATCAATCATGCATATGCGACATCCTAACAGTGGTGGAAAGCCTAACGAAAGTCCTGGCTTTCTTTCTCCATCTGCCTTCGTCGCTATCCCAACAAATGGTAGGCAGTTGTTCAAAATGACTTTCAAGCTAGTTTACTTGGTTATCTGCTACTATAATTGAGTTACTGTACACCTCTTCTGTATCTGGAGTGGTCATGGTTGTAGACAAGGAAGTTAAGCCTAGAGTAGGTATTAATGACAGGAAGCAAATTATGGGGAGGTGGTAGCGTGTGGTAATGTCACGAGACAAGTAATCCAGAGCCTAAGGTTAATATTCTGAGGGCATGGGTTCAAATCAAATCAGAAAGCTAGCCTAATGGTGACTGTGGACAACTGTAAGTTATAATAAAAACTCATCTGGTTCACTAATGTCCTTTTAGGGAAGGAAATCTGCTATCCTCACCTGGTCTGGCCTCCATGTGACTCCAGCAATGAAGTTGACTCTTAACAGCCCTTTAGACAATTAGGGCAATAAATGCTGGGCTAGCTAGTGATACCCGTATCCTGAGAACAAATAAAAAGAAAATGGGTTTGATCTGCCAAAAATACAATCAAGAAAACCAGACATTTGGGACTGTGTGAGGAGCAGTCAGAAACAAAATGGAAGACTGAATTTATGGTTTCAAATTATTGAATTCAGTGTGAACTGCAGAAAGTTTTCAAGTGTCTGATTGGAAAATAAGGTTTCTCCAGGTTCTGTTGGGCTTCACTGGAACACTACAGCAGACCCATGGTAGAAGAGTGAGCCTGAGAGCAAGATGCTATGTTAAAGTGACAAGCAATTGGAAGGTCAGGATCATGCTTGTGTGGTCTGAACAGACGTTTTTCACAAAGTGGCAACTTTTGACTTTGATCTCTCTAGTGTACAGATGACTGCATTGTGAGCAGTGAGTACAGTTGACTTACCGCTGTTTCATTTGGAAGGTGTGTCTGGGGCCTTGGACAGTAAGGAAGAAGGTGATAAAAAGAGAGAAAATCAAAGTGCATGGAAAGGTGCAATGGGAGAGGGATTGGATGTTGAAGATAACAGCAGCTGAGCAGGGTTTTATGGATGGAACAGTCCTTTTAAAACGTTGAGAAGGGAAGCAAGAGGAAGGAAAGATATTTTTGGTGATGGTGTCATGCTGGAGGTGGTGGAAATGGCAGAGGATCGTCCTTTTGAATGCAGAGGCTTGTGGGGTGGAAAGTCACAGGGAACCTATTGTGGTTAGGCATGTGGGTTAGGGAAAGGATGAAGATGGAAATATGGCAAATAGTTTGGACTTGGTTGAGGACCCTATACCCCACTATGATGGGGAAATTCTCAAGCACCGAAAACATGTCAGTCTTGTGGAAGATTGCATTATGGGAACACAAGCAATGGAAACTAGAAGTGCGTATGTGACATTTTGGTTAAACTATCGACACCATTTATTACTTTAATGTATTGTCATTTTGCCATTTTTGTTCCTTACAATTCACTCTTCCAATGTGACATTAACTCTTGGTTGTAGAATCAGACCACAAAATTTATTAGCCCTCCAGCACTTGAATAAACTGACTGATCTTCCTAGGTGTTTTTTTTTTAGTCAACATGTTCAGACGTGTTATGATACACCACTGGAATGGGTGGGATTTGAACCCAGACCTCCTAGTCCAAGAGTAGGATTGCAACCGTTGTGCCACACCAACTATCCACACAGACAGTCACCTGAGGGTGGAATAAAACTCAGGTCCTGGCGCTGTCAGGCAGCAGTGGTAACCGCTGAGCCACTATGCTGCTCACTGCTAATCTTCCTGTGTGAGATCAGACCATGAGTTGCAGTTGGCTTTTCCACCATGAGTGCATAAGAGCATAAGTAGGAGCAGAAATTGGACATGCAATGTATCAAGTCTACTCTGCCATTCAATTAAATCACAACTAATCTGATAATCCACAACTCCACTTTATTGTCTTTTCCCCATAATCTTTGATTTATTTACCAATTTTAAAAAAATCTATCTATCTCAGCCGTGAAGATACGTATTGACACAGCCTTTACAGCCCTCTGCAGTGAAGAATTCCACAGACTCACTGTACTCGAAGAAATTCCTCTTCATCTCTGTTTTAAATGTGTGCCCCTTATTCTGAGATTATACAAAGCGGAGACAATCTCTCTTCATCTGTCCTGTCAAGTCTCCTAAGAATCTTACATGTTTCCATAAATTCATGTCCCATTCTTCTATATTCCATTGAGTACAAGACAAATCTATGTGACCTCTCCTGATAAGACTGTCCCTTCATACTTGGTTATCAGCCTAGTGAACCTTCTCTGGGCTGCCTCCAATAGTATATCTTTCCTTATGGAAGCTGAGCTCAGCCCTTCTTTTTCAACAGTATTTGCCAGGCGCTGAAATGTAAACATCGGTTTGGGGCTATAAAGCCAATGTGGAACCCTTCTGCTGCCTTCCTGGCTTAGATTTTCAACCCCAACACCAAGCAGAAATCAAATCTATGGCCATCTGCTTTGTATAATTAAGCACTACATTATGTGGGGCTTTCATCAACATAAGCATCAAAGAAGCTCGGCAATTACAAATTTAAGGACACCATGCCTGAGAGTCAGGTAACATCTTCACTGCATACAACGTCTTCAAGAGATGTCAGCAGATTTTTCTTTTGTCCTTTAAACTGGAATATAGTTCATATTGTAAAGTTTCCAGGATTGATCGCAATAATGAAACAACCAAACGATATTTCAGTTTGATGAGTAAAGATAGGAAGAAAGAGGCAGACCTAAGTGTGGTCCAGTTTGGCCACAATTATCGAGCCTTAACAGAAGGCAGCTTTGGCCAGTGAGACACTTCACTGGTAGAAGCATGTTATGAAAAGGAAAGTAAGATGTTAAAATGTCTACTTTAGAGATTCTCTAAAAGATTTTTAGTACTGTCTTTGGGTTATCTGTCATTTCATAACATGCTTTTCACAATAGTCTATCACTTGAGAATTGGAATTGTGGCATCATTAAAGAACTTTAGGTACAACATGTGAAAAGGCTAATTCCATTCTTCTTGGAATAAGTGATATAAAGATAACATGGAAAAAATAAATAGCTTAGTAAAATGAGTAAACTGATGGTGAATTTCTGCCTTGTCTTATCAAATCTTAATATGTTACAAGTTCATTAATTTAGTAACAATCTGATTTGTTTTTCTGCCTTTCCAGAAGATAAAAAAAACAACGCATTTAACTACCCAAAGCAGGAGTCTCCTTTATTACCAGTATATGAGCAGTACTCCCAGAGTCTACCAGTGACCCCTTCTACCTCAACACAAGTGCGAATCCGAAGACTGACGCCACGAGTAGAACAGAACTTTGATAACTCACAAGAGATTCCTGAGTGTGAGTCTGACAGTCTTGGCTTTTCACCAGAGTATACTCCTAAAATGAGCACTTTGGAAACATTGAAAAGTGCACAAGATGAAATGTACCTCAGCAGCTGTGAGTCAGCAAAAGCCACGTGCGAATCTTCAAGGGGAGCTTCTGCCCGAGGTGATGCAGATGGTCACGTACAAGATTCTTTAGAATCTGTGGTACAGTCGGATAACCTGGCAAATTCGGTTGCCAGACTTGGATATGAGCATATTTCAGAGGAAAGCACAAACGTTTCATCAGCTTTGGAACCAGAAGTGAAGCAAGAAGGAGCTGGTGATGAAGGATTAAATCGACCTGATAGTCTCCGAGGACTACAGGCATTCCAAAGAAGCCAGAGCAATTTTACCAGCCTGGGATTAGCATTTCCTTCCCAAAATGGATCTTTAGTTATGTCACGTTTGCCAAGTTTGATAGACAAGAATTTGATTCCTGAGGAATGGGAAAGCTTTGGTGTTTCTCCTCTGTATGAGCGACCCTATAATGAAACTGAGACTGATGCAGAAAGGTAATCATTGTTATTCTTGCTGTCATGTTGTTTAAAAAAGGTTACAATGCTTTATCTTTTAGCCATTAACAGAGTTTACTATACCAATTCCAAATATTCATAACCAATAAACTTTTGTCTAGGTCAGGGGAAAGCTGTTTTATCCTGTACAGCTCTTTTTAATTTGTTCTTGGGATGTGAGTGTCACTGTCAACATTAACCTTTTATTACCAATCCCCAGTTAACCTTGAGAAAGTGGTGGTGTGCTGACTTTTTGATCTGCTGTGGTCCATGTGGGTCATGAACCTTACTGGGCTGAACAACTCTTGTTGATGAGAAGGTGGCCATGTGACATCCTATTGGGCTGATCCAAAAGCTGCTGTTGTATTAAGTTATAAAACACACGGGTAAAACCAGCATCACCTATTTTGCCATACTCTGTCCTCTTTTGGAAAGGTATCTGACTTCTAACTCTTTCTTTTAGTCCTTTGTCTGCAAGGCAGCATATAAGAAAGTCCTGCCTGCATCCCTGCTAGTTTGCATGCTTTGACCAAAATAATTTAGAGAGTCAAACAAAGTGATGTAATTATCTTGACAGACGTCTGTGCCATTTAGATTGAGATGTTTCAGATGTGTTAGAGGGAGATGTAAAAGAGGTGGGGGAGTTGTGTTACTGATTAGGGAGAATATCACAGCCGTACTAAAGGGGGAAACCTTGGCGGTCTCATCCAGCGAGGCCCTTTGGGTAGACTTCAGGAATAGGAAGGATACAATCATTTTGGGATTGTCCTACAGGTCTCCCAGTGCCCAGCAGGTGATAGAGGAACAGATATGCAGACAGATAATGGAAAAATGTGAAAACAACAGGATTTTAACATCCCCTATATTGACTAAGATTTGCATAGTGCCAAAGGATTTGGCTAGGGGAGGATTTGTCAGGTGTATGCAAGACAGCTTTTTGAAACAATATGTAATCAGTTCAACAGGGGAAGGGGCCATACTAGACCTGGTATGAGGGAATGAGCCCCGCCAGATGATTGAAGTTTCAGTGGGGGAGCATTTCAGCAATAGTAACTATTATTCTGTAAGGCATACGTTACTTAGAGATAAGGATACGGGTAGTCCTCAGGTGAAAGTGCTAAATTGATGGAAGGCTAACAACCACAATATTCGGCAAGAACTGGAGATGTAGATTAGGGGCAGCTGTTTGAGAGTAAATTGACATCCGGCATGCAGAAATCTTTTAAAGGCCAGTTGATAAGAATTCAGGACTAGTATGTTCCTGTGAAAATGAAGGATAAAGATGACAAGATTCGGGAACCTTGGATTGGAAGTGGTATTGAGAGCTGAGTCAAAAATAAAAATGAGGCATACACAAGATTTAGGAAACTGAAGACAGAGCCCTCAAAGAATACCAAGATAGCGGGAAAGAATTCAAACAAGGAATTAGGAGGGCTACAAGGGGCCATGAAATGTCTTTGCCAAACAGGGTGAAGGAAAATCCCAAGGTTCTTTATATGTCTGTACAAATAGCAAATGGGAAAGGGTGAGTCCACTCAAGGACAAAAGAGGGAATTTAGGCATGGAGCTGGAGGAAGTGTGTGAGGTACTGCATGAATAGTTTGCATCAGCATTCATAAATGAGAAGGACGTGGGGAGGCAATGGCCTAGTGATATTCTTGCTATACTGTTAATCCAGAGATCCAGGTAATGTACTGGGAACCTGGGTTCAAATCCCACCATGGCAGATCATGGAATTTGAATTCAATAAATATCTGGAATTAAGAGTCTAATGATGACCATAAATCCATTGTCGATTTTTGGAAAAACCCATCTGGCTCACTAATGTAATTTAGGGAAGGAAACTGCCATCCTCACTTGGTCTGGCCTACGTGTGACTCCAAACCCACAGCAATGGGTTGACTCTTAACTCCGGGATGAGTAATAAATGCTGGCCTAGCCAGCGACGCCCTCATCCTGTGAATAAAACATGATTAGTCTTAGGAGGGGCATGTCAATATAAAAAGGAGGTGGTGTTGGGTGTTTTGAAAAGCAGTAAGGTAGACAAGTCCCCAGGACCTGATGGGATCTGTACCAGAATGCTAAGGGAGGCAGGTGAGGAAATTGCTGCAGCCTTGTACAAAATCATTGTATACTCTTTAGTCACAGGAGAGATCCCAGAGGACTGGAGAACAGCCAATTGTTGTTCCTTTGTTCGAGAAGGGCAACAGGGATAATTGGGGAAACTGCAGGCCAGTGAGCCTTAGGTCATTGGTAGGGAATTTATTAGAGAAGATTTTGAGGGATAGGATTTACTCACCCTCACATTTGAAAAAATATGAACTTCTAAGTGAAAGGCAGCACGCTTTTGTGTGGGAAGGTCCTGGAACTCAAACTTGGTTGGGGTTTTTGAGGAAGTGACAAGATGATTTTAGTAAGGCCTTTGACAAGGTCCCTCATGGCAGGCTGATATAAAAAGTAAAGTCACATGGAATCTGTGGTAAGCTGGTAAGATGGATACAGAACTGACTGTGTCATAGAAGACAGATTAGTAGCAGTGGAAGGGTGCTTTTCTGACTAGAGATCTGTGACCAGTGGTGATCTGCTAAGGCCAGTGCTGGGAGCCCTGTTATTTGTAATATATATAAATGATTCGGAAGAGAATGTAGGTGGCCTGATTAGTAAGTTTGCAGGTCGCACAAAGATTGAGGAGTTGCGGATAGTGAGGAGGATTACCAGAGGATACAGCAGGATATAGATAGACTGGAGACTTGGGCAGAGAAATGGAAGATGAAGTTTAATCCAGACAAATGTGAGGTGACACATTTTGCAAGATCTAATGCAGGAGGGAAATATACATTAAATGGCAGAGCCCTTAGTAGCATCAATATACAGTGATCTAGGCATACAGGTCCACAGTTGCCTGAAAGTGGTAATATATAAGTGGATAAGGTGGTCAAAAAGGCATATGGCATGCTTGCTTTCATCGGTCACAACATAGAGTATAAAATTGGCAAGTCGTGTTGCAGCTGTATAGAGCTATACTTAGGCCACATTTGGTGTATTGTGTACAGTTCTGGTGTCCCTGCCACAAGAAGAATGTGAAGGCTTTGGAGAGTTTGCAGAATTGGTTTACAAGGATGTTGCCTGGTTTGGATGATATTTGCTATGAGGAGAGATTTGACAAACGTTTTTTTTGTTTCCACCTGAATGTCAAAGGATGAGGAACAACCTGATAGAGGTTTACAAAATTGTGGGAGATATGGATAGTTGGAGCCTTTTTTTCCAGCTTAAGAAATGAGAGTTCCTAGGGACATAGGTTCAAGGTAAAAGGGGGTAAGTTTAATGGAGATGAGAGGCAAGTTTTTTTTTTTACACAGAGGATGGCAAGTACCTGGAATGCGCTGCTGGGAGGTGGTGGACGTGGATACAATAGCAACGTTTAAGAGGATATATGAATAGAAGTTTGTCTTGTATGTCACCAAAGTATATCAATAAGTAAAAAGGGAGTTTGGAATAACATCACGTAATGATACGCAGTAAATTCCAAGGATAGTTCTCCCTTGAACAGCATGCTTGGGCACAAATTTGATGAGCGGAATATTGTGAAAGCTCAACAATCACTTTATTTTCTAAACCAGCAAAAAATAAGGCCTGTACTGACATATCATTTCACATTGCTACCTTCTAGCAAAATATAATAAATCATTCACAGATGAAGTAATTAAATAAGAAAAAAAACCAAAAAACTGTGGATGCTGTAAATAGAAATTGCTGGAAAAGCTCAGCAGATCTGGCAGCATCTGAGAAGGATCACTCAACCCGCAATGTTAACTCTGATTTCTCTCCACAGTTGCTGCCAGATTTGCTGAGCTTTTCCAGCAATTTCTGTTTTTGTTTCTAATTAAAAAAGGAATTACTGCAGCTACTGACTATAATAACGGCAATCGAGAGCTTATCACTTGGTGCTTAGTAGCAAAACAAGTGAAACTTTTGTCCAGAGACATCTTTCAAAAATGACATCATGGATTTGAAGGACTGTGAATGTTTCTCACACCAGTTTGATGAATCCATGGACATAACCAACATAGCCCAACTGATTGTGATTTTAAGGACATAACAACTTAAGAGGATCTGCTCACTGTTTGCCCCTTAAAGGGAGAACAAAGGGTGAGGATATCTAAAATTCAATACACGTGCTTGAGGAAAAGAAGTCCAATCAAGAAACTGATTTCTATCATAACTCATGGTGCTCTAGCCATTTTTAGCGCAAATGCAGGCACTGTTGCATTGCGCAGGCATGATTCTGATTTCACTTTCTTTATCAATTACCACATTGTAAGCAATTAAGGACCTTACTCATGTAATGAAAGTTATTTTTAAGATTGTAAACTTGTTTTGAGCAAGAACTCTTCAACATGCTTGTTTAAAACCTCACTCAACGACTTGGTACTGCCTACAGTGAACTAATCCTCCATGCTGATGTGAGGTGGTTAAGTTAAAAGATTTGTAGGTGCTGGAAATCGCCATATTTCTTCAATCAACAAAATGAATGAGTAAGCAAGGAATGAATAGTGCAGTGAGCTGTCAGACAATGAATGATTGCTTAACTTTGTGTTCCTTAAAGATATAGTGTCAAAATTGAACAAGCTGAACTGCGAACTGTAGGAAAAGGACAGAGACAAGATTGCGCTGTGAATTAAGAAATATGAGAAAATGTTGGGGGAAAAAAAAGCAAAGACCAAAAAACAGCTTCCCTCTAGAAAACTTCTGTTCACACCTGAGGAAGTTAGTGGAATTCAGCAGGTGATTTCAGAATTTTGGTGTGATGGAACAAATTGTCATGGTTTTTCTCAAATTCATTCCTTCATGTAGACATTAATAGGTTGGCTACCGAATTCTTTCAGATAGTTGGTTTGCAATGCAGTGGAATTGATATCCAGATAATTACTTTGCTAAATGATATGCTGAAAGTCAGATCAAGAGACAATATTTTTTCCGAACTCAAACAGAAAAGTATCATTTCTATCATCCTGCTCTTTTAAAGCGAAAGCTTACTTTAGCTCCACATACCTTTTGTGAGACATAATTCTCCCTGATAAAGTCGTCCAAGTAGCACATCAAATTTACAGCCATTTGATGGACTGTACACAGCTCGCAGTCTGAAACTACAACTCAGACTTTAAGGCACTGCCAAATAATGTGTGGTCACAGGTGTCATACTGAGACTTGGTGAGTAAAGGACAATATAAGTAGTTATATATACTTGGTTTTAGATTTATATAGCTCTAAAAATAAATTTTGTTCTGTTTTCTTCGGGATAGATCTTGGGTTCACTTAAATTCAAAAAGTGATCCTGTGCTTCATAAAGTTAGAGACCACTGATCTACAAGATGCGCTATAGAAATGCACCATGGTTCTATATACTGTCCTTCTAGATGATAGGTTTGAAAATAGCAATGGCAGCAGATACGTGGAAACACTATCACCTGCAAGTTACTGTCCAAGCCACTCATCATCCTGACTTGCAATTCCTTCAGTGTCACTGGGTCAAAATCCAGGAGCTCCCTCCTATAACAGTATTGTGGGTATACCTGCACCAAATGGATTGCAGCAGTTCAAGAAGATGGCTCACCACTACTTTCTCAAGGGAATCTAGGGATGGGCAATAAGTGCTGGCCAAACCAGCAATGTCCATGCCCATATCCATGTCCCTGATAATTTGAACTCTTAGGCATAAATTACAAAGAGAGATTATAGAAATTAGGATTGTATTTGTTGGAATTTAGAACATTAAGGGCGATTTAATCCAGGTTTTTGGATATAAGGGAGAATAGACAAAATAGATTGAGAAATACTATTTCTCTTTGTTGGTGAGCCTAGAACTAGGGGCATGCCCTAAAATCTAGCGTCAGACTACTTAGGAAACACATGTACACACAAAGTACAGTAGTGGTTTGGAACTCTCCAGACAAATGAGAATTGACGTTATAATAATTGTAAGGTTTAAAATTGAGCTTGGTAAAACTGAGCTTTGTTAACCAATGATATTAAGGGATCAGCGGAAAAGGCAAGCATATAAATTTGGATCACATATGAGCAATAATCTTAGTGAATGACCGGACATGCAGGAGAAGCTAAAAGTAGTTAACCCCTGGCTTGACGTTTCCAATTCCTTAGGTTTGATAAATTCGTGCAAAATTACAGCATATACCAATTTGTAGTGGGTATTCAAAAGGGTATAGTGAAGAGTGTTACGCCTGTGAAAACATCTTTCACTATGATGTGAATCTGCTGAAAGTTGTATACTCTTGTGTGCTATAAAGTCGTCGTCCTTTATATGTCACGGTCATAGTTTGTCGTTACCTCCTGCAGCGTTACTCAAAATTAGAGTAAGCTTTTTTTCTGCTTTAAAAGAAAATAAACTAATGTTGATCACTGTTGTCTTGTAATTACCCCATTGCCAATTAACTACAGAAGGTAAGTTTTCAACCCAACCTTCACCATTACTAAGGCTACCTCTGATGCCTGTAAAATCACCAGACTCTCCTGCCATAGCTCATATGCTGCCAAATCCCACATCCATAACTTTTGGAACTTATAGAATTAAAAACACCTGCCAAGGTTTAGGGTTGAAAAATGGTTTAGATATTAGTTTTGTATGTTACATAAGGTTAAATAAAGATTAAGATTGCTTCTGATATTATTGACATATTATTGATATTATTTTGTGTATCTAGATCTGCGACAGAAGACTGTCTAATTCTGATCTGCTGTGGGCTCTATGACCTTTTGCGAGGAATCCTACTCATCCTGCCAGATGTAATGCTAGCTGATGTGATGGACAAGTTGATCCAACCGGAAGCATTGATAGTTCTTGTCAATCATCCAACTCCAGCAATACAGCAAGGAGTTATTAAAGTAAGAGAAACAACCAGCTGATCCTTTCAGAGATTTACTCATGGCAATCTGATATTTTATACATTAACAGAAGACAAAGGAATAATCAATATATCAAATACCATGTTCTATTTTATCAGTGCTACAGTGAACACACAGATCTTAATCCAACCTTGGTTGTTGGTATGGCCCCTCTGCACTATGTTAATTGTTTTAGATTTTAACAATGAATCCGTTTTCCATCTTGAACATTCAAATTGTTAATGATGATACAGTGCTGTGTCCGTCAGAAAGTGTAAGTACTCATCAAAAATTCTTATTTATAGATGTGTGCATAATTAATTTGTTAAGGAACATTGTGAGCTCTGCTATAGAAAAGGACTGCACATTAAAGGTTGTGTTGGAGCATCCAGGAATTGAAGACTGAGTTCTTAGAGAATGCTGCACACAAACCAGGGAAAAATCAATAAGATATTGAAATGTGGTGCCTTTTCATTTTCTTTGAGCATATTTGTTTTTTAGTTAAAAAGTCTTTGGAGATTGGCAGGGGATTAGAGGTGAAGATGCGGTCTGGTGGAAAAAAGGCTGTTTAATTGGGTGGATGTGGTTTGTGGTGGGGAAAGCTGTTTAATTGTGTGGATATCCAGATCAGTTAAGGGGATCTGTGAAGATAGACACATGAGATAATTCAGTCCCTCAAGCCTGTTTTGGCATTCACTTATTTCAGTACTAATCTGTATTTTCCGTTCACCTGCCTTGATTCATAACCCTTAATATCCTTCACTAACAAAAGTCTATCAATCTCCTGTGCAGCATTCAGAAGATGAATTTTAAGGTTGCCTTCCCAACTCTTTCAAGAGCACTTAATATGCAAAGCTTTTGATTTTTTTTGTTCTGTATACATTAGTAGAAAGATACCAAGTTTGAGGTGTGGATTATTAGGTGTAAATTTCGGAGTGACATTTATGAGGCAATGGTATAATTGGTAGGTGTGACTATTCTGATCAAATTGCAAAGTTGTTTATCATTTGAAGAACTGAAAAATCATCTTGTATTATGAATCACACTGTGAGGAGGGTGGCAAAGTCTTGGAGAGAGTGGAAACAATATTTGAGAATGGTCCAAGGTGATGGGCTTCAGTTATTTTGCAAGATTAGAGGAACTGAGATTTGTTCTCGTTAGAGTAAAGAAGGTTAGTTAGTAGTTGAAATGCTTTTTAAGTTTTGAGAAGTTTGATGGAGTAGAGAGAAACTGGAGGGAAGAGTGATGGTAACTAAAGGTGACAGATCTGAGGCAATGATAAAAATGAGGAATAATTTGGAAGAAACTGCTTGAAATGGTAGTGGAAGCAGATCTGTAGTAACATCAAAAGGAATTTGAATATATGCTTAAAAAGAGAGATTTGTGGGTGCATCAGGACAGATTAAGTTGAGTGGGACCAATTGAATAGTTCTTTCATTAAGTTTGCGCAGGCATGATAAGCATAACAGCCTATCAAGATAACATAAGATGCATAATTATGAGAGTTTCCCAGAGGTCTGTGACTGCCCCCCGTATTTCTCATATACATATTGCTTCTCGGCTTTATCACAGAAACATAGAAAATAGGAGCAGAAAAATGCCATGTGGCCCTTTGAACTTGCTGTGCATTCAACATGATAACACCTGATCATCCCCCTCAGTACACTTCCTGGTTTCTCCCAATATACTTTGATTCCTTTAGCCCTAAGAACTATATCTATCTATCTCCTTGGAAACATTCAATGATTTGACTCCAACTGCTGTCTAAGGCACAGAGCTTCCACAGGTGCACCCCTTGTCTGACTGAAGAAATTTCTCATCCTAACTGGCACCTAAATGTGACCTCTGATTCTGGTCATCTGGAACATCTTTCCTGTGTTTACCCTGATTAGTCCTGTTAGAATTTTATTGGGTTCTATGAGATCCCTCCTCATTCTGCTAAATGATGTGGAGATACTGGGGTGGACAAGATCAAAAATCACATGACACCAGGTTTTAGTCCGACAGGTTTATTTGAAAACACATGCTTTCGGAGTTCAGCTCCTTCCTCAAGCGGAGAGAGGGCGGGGTATAAGACACAGAATTTATAAGCAGAAAGGTAACAACCCTAAAACTGGCCGCCTCTTGTTGAATCTTTAATCAGTTAGGAAGGACACTACTAATTAAAATGCAAAATCCAGATTCCTCTCAAGTCATTGTCTTGAGATAATTAAAGGTTTAATCAATGAATACAAGAAGTGACATCTCAGGTCAAAGAATGCATTTTAGGTATAGTAAGAACTGCTGATGCTGGAGTCAGAGATAGCACCGTGTGGAGCTGAAGGAATACAGCAGGCCAGGCAGCATCAGAGGAGCTGGAAAGTTAACGTTTTGGGTCGGGACCCTTCTTCAGAAATGGGGCACCCGACCCAAAGTGTCAACTTTCCTGCTCCTCTGATGCTGCCTGGCCTGCTGTGCTCTTCCAGCTCCACACAATGCATTTTAGGTGTGAGGTCTTGCTTAGAATCTGTCTGTTTTAAACTCGGGTCAGGTTTTTTGTTTTGAGCAAAACAATGCATCTGCAACTGCACAAATGTCTTGGATGAAATAATTTGTGTGTCCGTGTATGTATGTATGTGTGTGTCTGTGCCTCTGCTTGTGGTGTGTGTGTTTGAGAGAAAGAGAGAGGGGGGGAAAAGAATGTATGTGTGCACGTGCATGCATGCAACGGAGAGTGTGCGTGTGTCAGGGAGGAAGTCTGTGTGGAGTGGGGGGTGGGAAGTGTATGTGCGCGCACCCATGTACGTGTGGTAGGGGGGTGCGGTAAGTGTGTGCACGTATGGTTGGGGGGCACGGGGAAAGTGTGTGTGCGTGTGTGTGTGCGCGCGCGCATGTGGTGGTAGGGGGAGTTGGGTCACCTGTAATACGACATGAATCCAAGATTGCAGTTGAGGCTGCACGCATGGGTACTGAACTTGGCTATCAGCCTCTGCTTGGCAACTCTGCGTTTTGTGTATCCCAAAGTCCACCTTGGAGGACATTTACCCGAAGATCCAAGGCCGAATGTCCTTGACTACTACAGTGCTTCCCCACTGGGACGGAACATTCCTGTCTGGCAGTTATTGCATGGTGTCCATTCATTTGTTGTCGTAGTGTCTGCATGGTTTCACTGATGTACCATGCCTTGGGCCATCCTTGCCTGTAGTGTATGAGATAGATACTCATGTGACTCGGCCAATGTTGTCTATGTGCACGTGGTGTGTGGTGTTCCCATGTGTGATAGTAGTATCCATGTCTAAGATCTGACACTTCTTGCAGAGATTACCACAACAGGGTTGTATAGAGTTGTGGTCAATGTTGTCCTGAGGGCTAGGTGGTTTGCTGCGAACAATGGTCTGTTTAAGGTTTGGTGGTTGTTTAAAGGCGAGCAGTGGAGGTGTGGGGAAGATCTTGCCGAGGTGCTTATCGTGTTCAATAATGTGTTGATGGCTGTAAAGAACGTGGCATAGTTTCTCTGCTCTAGGAAAGTACTGGACAATGAAGGGTACCACATGAGACATTTCCTGTGTCTAAATTCTGAAGTCATTACGGTTTTTTGCTGTGGCACGTTGGAACTGGCGATCGATAAGTAATAGGGTAACGAGAACTGGGCACACTAGTCCAGAGAGGCCTCACCAACTTCGTGTACAACCTCCACATATCGTCCCAACTCCTCAAAAGCTCAAAAGCCTGAGCAATGAAGGCAAACGTGCTAAACACTGTCTTGACCACCGTGTCTACATGTGATGCAAACCTCAATTATTAACCTGAACCCCTAGATGTATGTTGTCATGTCATATTGCAGCTGTACAGGACATTGGTTAGGCCAGTTCTGGAACTTGCATGCAATTCTGGCCTCCCTGTTTTAGGAAGGATGTTGTGAAACTTGAAAGGGTGCAGAAAAGATTTGCAATGATGTTGCCAGGGTTGGAGGGTTTGAGCTATAGGGAGAGCATGAATAGGCTGGGGCTATTTTCTGTTGAGTATTGGAGGCTGAGGGGTGACTTTAAGGAAGTTTATAAAATCATGAGGGGCAGGATAGTTTGAATAGCCAATGTCTTTTTGCCGGAGTGGGGGAGTCCAAAACTAGAGGGCAGTGGTTTAAAGTGAGAGGGGGAAGATTTAAAAGGGACCTAAGGAGCAACTTTTTCACACAAAGGGTGGTGCATGTATGGAATGAGCTGCCAGAGGAAGTAGTGGAGGCTGGTACAATTACAGCATTTAAAAGGCATCTGGATGGTATATGAATAGGAAGGGTTTAGAGGGATATGGGCCAAATGCTGGCAAATGGTACTAGATTAATTTAGGATATCTGGTCAGCATGGACAAGTTGGACCGAAGTGTCTTTCTCATGCTGTTTAGCTCTACGGACTCTGACTCTACAGCACTACCCAAGGCTCTACTTTTTCCTCCCTTTCACCAGATCCTGCATACTCCAACGTATTTGGGGCATTCTTTGTGTCCTCCTTTGTGAAGACAGAACCAAAATATGCATTTAATTAGTCTGCCATCTCTTTATTCCCCACTGTAATGTCTCCTGTCTTCTCCTAACCCTGTCAGGTTAGCCTGACATCCAGAAAAATATTAGGCTCCGTATGAATGCAGATGACAATTATCATCTGTTGCGTATAAATCACAACAGGTTACATTTAATTTGGCTACTTGTTAAGAAATCTCTCAGACAATCAAATACTGAAACAATGATTTAAACTTTATTGCATATAGTGACTAAAATAAGACCGTTCAAGTAAGCAAGTTAAGCCTCATAACTCAACTTGGCTATTACCAGTGAAACTTGGCCACAATCCTTATGCAGTGTTATTCTTTGAAGTTCTTCTGTTGAATTGTTGTGTTGGATTCTTGTACAATTTTCTCTCCTTCAAGTTTGTGGTGTGACATTATTGATATCCTTTAGATTCTTTCATCCCCACATTGATTACATCTTTAGGAGATCTCAAATCTGTAGCTTGCTGCCTTATCAGAAGTAACTCCCCTGTTTCTTGTTATATTCAGCATTAGCTGTCTGTTTAAAACACAGCTTTTCCTGCAGTTAAACCCTTTACATCAGATCATTTCTTCTGCAGGCATTCTTAATTGCCCATTTATCATGAGGCAGCAGATTATCAAGCAATTGTTATCTTCTGTCTCCCAGAAAACAGCTTGTTTATGTTGAATCAGAGATAGTAGGAACTGCAGATGCTGGAGAATCCGAGACAACAAGGTGCAGGGCTGGATGAACACAGCAGGCCAAGCAGCATCATAGGAGCAGAGAGGCTGACGTTTCGGGCCTAGACCCTTCATCAGAAAAGGGGGAGGGGAAGGGGGTTTTGAATACCATTGGGCTGCAGGGTTCCCAAGTGGAATATGAGTTGCTGTTCCTGCAACCTTCGGGTGGCATCGTTGTGGCACTGCAGGAGGCCCAGGATGGACATGTTGTCTGAGGAATGGGAGGGGGAGTTGAAATGGTTCGCGACTGGGAGGTGCAGTTGTTTGTTGCGAACCGAGCATAGGTGTTCTGCCAAGCGGTCCCCGAGTCTCCGCTTGGTTTCCCCGATGTAGAGGAAGCCACACCGGGTACAGCGGATGCAGTATACCACATTGGCAGATGTGCAGGTGAACATCTGCTTGATGTGGAAAGTCTTCTTGGGGCCTGGGATGGGGGTGAGGGAGGAGGTATGGGGGCAGGTGTAGCACTTCCTGCGGTTGCAGGGAAAAGTGCCGGGTGTGGTGGAGCTGGAGGGGAGTGTGGAGCGGACAAGGGAGTCACGGAGAGAGTTGTCCCTCCGGAAAGCAGATAAAGGTGGGGAGGGAAAGATGTCTTTGGTGGTGGGGTCGGATTGCAGATGGCGGAAGTGTCGGAGGATGATGCGTTGGATCCGGAGGTTGGTGGGGTGGTACGTGAGGACGAGGGGGATT